GGGATAACACGTTACATTGATTATCAGGCCTGCCTCCATGGCTGCTCCTGGCTGTGAGTTTCTCAGACTTACCTTCTTTTTGATGATCGTCAGCGTTTTTTGTTTTGTTTTTAACTTTCTACTGTGCTTTGGGTGAAAGTTTAGAGAGCAAATTGGTTTTCTCGTGAAAATTCAGTCACATTTTAATTTTATGACATTGATTGGAACCCCCACCCCCAATATAACAGCATTCTTCCCACTTGTACCTTGTTTCCCATCCATGTGTCCATCCTACCCCTTTCAGCCTCAGAACTTTATCCCCGGTGAACGGTGCCGATCGTTAGGCTGAGAGCTGAGTCGCGGGACTGAGTTCAGTTCAGGCTTGCTGGGTAGCTACAGGCTGTGGTCCCGAGGCGCCATCAGTCTCGATCAGATCAGTGAGCTAGACGGTTTGATTATTTGACCTTGACCTTGGGTAGGTACTTGTCAGATAGAATGTAGGATACCCTTCTGCTTGGATGTTTTTAGCTTTCTTCATGATTAGATTGGCGTTAGGAGTTTTTACAAAGGTAATCACAGAGCTAAATACTATTTCCATCACATCATATCAAGGGTACGGTTATAGATTGACTTTTGACCCACCAAAATATGTTTCAACTTGGCTGGGACATGATTCTCAGCATTGTGTGGTTGTCCCACATTTTGTGGTTTCGTGTAATTATCTCCATTTTGTGATGGGTTGTAAATATTTGCATCTGTATTTTAATGAGGCAGGATCACACCTTCACTCAAATTTCACCCTTCCACAAATCACCACCCTTACTCAAGTCACAGGAACCCTGGTGTGTCACTGTGAGAAGCTGGACTGTGAGACACAAGGTTGGCAGATTGAAACCACCAACCGCCCCACAAGAAAACAGCAGCACTTTCTACTCCCATTAGCAGTTACAGGCCCGGAAACTCCCAAGGGCAGCTGTACCCTATCCTATGGGGTCCTTGTGAGTAGCATGAACTTGATGGCAGGGAATGAGGGTGACTTGAGTTGCATCTTTTATAAGAAATAAAAGGAGAGGAAAGTGAGCAGAGAGGTGAAGAACTTCAGTACTATTAAAGAAAAATAACTAGGGACAAAATGTATGGCTTGGGCCCAGGACCCCGCCGGGTCCCTATGCTGAGAACCTCCTAGACCCAAGAGAAGATTATTTAGCCAACACAAACGGAGATCTCCAAGGACTACTGGGCCCACAGATGCTGAAAGGAGACAAGGGCCTTACCCTAGAGCCAGTACTATGAATGCAGACGTCAAGCCTCCTAAACTGTAGGAAAATAAATTTCTATTTGTTAAAGCCATTTACATTTGATATTTCTGGTATAATAGCCCTAGATAACTAGTACAGGTATGTACTGGCAACATGACTTGTGACTCTGGATATCAACCTTGATCACTTGACTGAAGTAGTAATTTTCAGGTTTCCCCACTGTAAAATTATTTCCCTCTTCCACCCACCTTTCCGTACTGTGCTCTTTTCCAAGAAGTCCCTATATGCTTAAGTGTTGGTTGCATATAGGGAGTTATGCTTTTCTTCATTTAGGATGGAGTACCTATATAATTTATTTGGAATTAGATATTTGCCTCTTCTCCCCTATTTATTCAATCAGTTATATCAGTATTGACTTGTGGATATTTATTTATACTTTAGGTTATAATCCAGTACTGAACTCACTCCTCATTTATCAACATGTTTAGTGTCCAAAAAACAGGTCATTATTTAAAACGCAGCGTTATGTGGAATTCGAAGTTAACCACATTGGCTCAAAAAATGGAAGATAACTGCATTGTCTTACCAAACTGCCAAGTTACATCATTACATAACTGACAACCACTGAGAACCATGGCTCCGCCATGTTACATAACTAACCATTACAGCCAGCATTAGCTGGGATTTGTTACTGTCTTATGCACTTCACTAATGCCCCAAATAGTTATACAATAGATTTTTTTTACTACTGCCATAATACAAATGTCATAGAAGCAGATAGTTGGTAAGTGAGGAGTGGGTGTATTTTATTTTATTGCTCAGGTTGTTCCAGCTTTGGGCACTGGAAATTCTCTCAGTTGGCTTTCTTCTTATAAATCTAATTCAGTGGCGTTACCCCCCATTCTAACGGCCTCTTCCTGGTCTCTCATGATTAATGACAAGAGGCAGAGTTCAGTTCAGTAGAAGGAAAGAAACTTTCCAATCATTAGAATTAACCACTGTAAAGTGGACTTCCTGGGGAGAGAATGGCACCCTGTCTTTGGGAAAAGCCATCAGATGTTTGACGGTATTTAGAAGGGAGACCTGCACTGGGGGCGTTTGGAGCTACAAGACCTTCGATGTTTCTTCCAAATTCAAGATTCTCTTCCTTTACATAGTGTTCAAAAGATCACTTTAGCTGTAATCTCTCTTTCCCTCTGTTGACAGTGAGATTGGTGACTCATCTCTGGCCCCGCTGTGCCTGACTCTGCCGTGCTCATGGCAGAACCTTTGAAAATCAATACACTGATCAGATTGGTGCTTCATTGAATGTGGAAGGTAAGTCAGAGAAAGAAAGAAAAAGGCCGAGTGAGGAGATGCAGATGATGATAAACAGTAAATTATTTTAGGAATATAGGGACGTTTTGTCCGAGAGAGGACTCACTCTCCATTGCGCCATCACGGTACTCTCTCTCAGCTGTTTACCCTGCTGGGAAACGCCTCATCCCTGTTTATATCACCAGCAACGAAAACCCTGCCTGACATTGTGCTTTCTCAGTCAAAAGGTGTTAAATGACACTGCTGTCAAGGTCCCCGGAGACAGGAATGGGTATCTTACGGTTCCTGAGCTGCTTCTCTATTGTACTGTACCTGTTTCTGTTCGTTTTGTCTTTCTCAGGTTTCCCTCCCCGGGTCTCTGAAGACCCAGGGCCCCTCCACCATGGCCAGCCGGGGTGGGGGCCGGGGTCGTGGCCGGGGCCAGTTGACATTCAACATGGAGGCCGTGGGCATTGGGAAAGGAGATACTTTGCCCCCGCCTACCCTGCAGCCTGCTCCACTCTTCCCTGTGAGTGTCGCCCCGAGACATCCCTGCACCCCTCTATGAGCCCCGGGTTCCTCCTGGGCCATCATTAAACTGTCCGCACCTTGCCGCTCCCTGTGTAGTCTCCCAGCTCACGTGGGATGTTTTCCAGGGAAGGAACTTCCTACCCTTACTTGTCACCTCCCGGGTTCCCTAGCTTTTAGAATTCTTTGTCCCTCCTGCTCATTCTGTACAGGCCAGTTCTCAGTGGTGACCTGATCACTCTCCCTGCCTCCTTAGCCCTTAGAGTTCCGCCCGGTGCCTCTGCCCTCGGGAGAGGAAGGGGAGTACGTCTTGGCACTGAAGCAGGAGCTGCGAGGAGCCATGAGACAACTCCCCTACTTCATCCGGCCGGCTGTCCCCAAGCGAGGTCAGTTGACATGTTAGCATCATGTTCCGAGTGCCTCTCATGGGCACTGTGCTCAGCCTCAGTGGTAGCCCCAGGAACCCCCGAAGGCACAAGGAGCTCCCAGCCTGACAGGAGAGATGTCATGGAGAGCCTCGCATTTGGCATGCAGTGCAGTAGTCAGCATGTGTCTGGAGTCTCACCCCTATCTTGGACAAGTGGGGAGTATTTGATGCTTGTTTCACAAGTATAAATGGGGGGTGGTGGTGAATGAAAACATGTAGCAACCTGTGGCTAATGGCCACCAGCCAATCAGACAGATGGGACCGGGGCTGGGTCTTTGAGAACCGCTGCCCAGGAAAATATAGTTAGTAGGTGGTCAGGAGGGAGCGCACTCGGAGGCTCCGGGTGGTGGCTGTTTCCTAGCGAGTGTGGAAGTGCAGTGTATTGACCTCCCTGTCTTCCCACTGAGGACACTGTTGTCCCTTTGAACGCGAGGCTGAGAGCGAGTAACGATAGGAAAGTCACCCTTTTACCATGGACCTCAGAGAAGACGAGAGCACTGGCTTCTTGCCCTCGGTGTCCTTTCCACTGCATTGTGTTAACTCTCGAGGAAGCCATCCTTGGGGGCCAAGGGAGGGAGAGGAGAAAGCTGTTCTAACTTCGGGTGGGGCAGTGGTGGTTCAGTGGTCGGACTCTACCTTTCCTGCTGGGCATGCAGGGTTAGCCACCAGGCGTCTCAGGGGAGCCGTGCACCGTGCTGTGATGCTAACCAGGTTTCCGCTAGAGCAGATCACTGATGGAAATCCTGTGGCTCCCAACCATGTGAGTTGGGGCAGCTCGATCAGCAGCAGCTAACCACAGCAGCAGAATATTTTCTCCTGTAACAGACTACCTCTCCAGCTAGCCTAAGGAAGAAGACGAAGAAGACTTTTTTAATTCTGTAGAGTCACTATGAGTCCGAATTCACTAGATGGCAGCGGGTTTTGTTGTCATTTGGGGTGTAAAGGGGGCTGTTAACAATTGTCTGAAAGGGTCATACTGAAGCTGACCCCCGGGGCTCCGGGCGTGGGGTTGGAGGACAGACAGTTCTTGAGTGTTGGAAGACCCGGACCCTGGAGAACAGAGCTGCTACAGGGCTCTGGAGGGTAAAGATTTGACTCTTGGCTTCTGACCCTCAGATGTGGAGCGCTACTCAGACAAGTACCAGATGTCAGGGCCCATTGACAACGCCATCGACTGGAACCCTGGTAGGTGGTGGCGCCTGTCAAAGCCGGAGGCGCCTCAAGCCACAAGTCGCTCCTCTAACCCAAGCCCTCCCTCGACCAGTGTCGGAACCAGAGCCCTTGCTGTGCAACATGTTCCTAAACACTCCCAGGCATTGCCTGGAAAAAACCTTTTCAGTTACCTCCACCCCCCACCCCTCCCACCCCTGGGAGGCATCCACGCTACAGTTTTGTTCCCACCCTTACCTTACCCACCCCTTCCTTTCAAGCCACTTTTCCTTCAGAGGAGAACCCAGGTAGAGCCCCACTGACATCCACCTGTTCCCAATTCCCAGACTGGCGTCGCCTACCTCGGGAGCTAAAGATCCGGGTGCGGAAGCTGCAGAAGGAACGTGAGTGTGTGTGGGAACAAAGAGGGCTCTTCCCCTCATCCGTGGGGAGGCTGGTGGCAGTCGCGTCTGCTTTCCTAATGGTGGCGCTGGTGGGTGAGAGGAACTGCAGTTCAACTGCACCAGCCACTCCTTGGGAGAAAGAGCAGGGTGGAGGGAGGGTGGGTGGAAAGCGGGAACCGATCACAGGGATCTACATGTAACCTCCTCCCTGGGGGATGGACAGCAGAAAAGCGGGTGAAGGGAGACCTCGGACAGTGTAAGATATGACAAAATAATGATTTATAAATGATCAAGGGTTCATGAGGGAGGGGTGAGTGGGGAGGGAGGGGGAAAATGAGGAGCTGATACCAAGGGCTCAAGTAGAAAGTAAATGTTTTGAGAATGATGAGGGCAACGAATGTACAAATGTGCTTTACATAATTGATGTATGTATGGATTGTGGTAAGAGTTGTATGAACCCCCAATAAAATGATTTTAAAAAAAAGATGTACAGCAGTGGTTCTCAACCTGTGGGTCAAGACCCCTCTGAAGATCAAACCATGTTTCGAATGATCTTAGGAACCAAGACACTGCTGTCTCGGGGCGGGGCGGCCCACGTGCAGACATGCCCACATAGGAATACCCGGTGTGAAGACTTCCCCATGCTACATCATGCTTCAAGACAAATATCTCATTTATTTGTCATTAGAAATAAATATTTCACAATATATAATTACATATTGTTTTGTGATTCATCATGATGCTTTAATTATGCTCAATTTGTAACAGTGAAAATACATCCTGCATATCAGATATTTACATGACGATTCATAACAGGAGCAAAATTACAGTGATGAAGTAGCAACGAAGATAATTTTATGCTTGGGGGTCCCCACAACGTGATGAAGTGTATTAAAGGGTCGCAGCGTCAGGAAGGTTGAGAACCACTGATTTACAGCCTCAGAAGCCTTATGTAGGCTCCTTATGAGTCAGAACCCAGCTCGGTGGCAGTCGATTTTGTTGTTGTTGTTTGATTGTGGATTTTTGTTTGTTTTCAAACCCAGCTGTCTAAATGTTGGGAGAAATAGGCGGCTTTCTACTCCTGTGAAGAGTTGTAGTCTCAGAAACCCGCAGGGGCAGTTCTACTCTGCCCTGTAGGGTCGCTGTGAGTCCCTGCAGGGAGTTGGCTGGGGTGGGTGTAAATGTTGTGGGTGTCCCGGTGTCCGCATGAGGGCAGCAGAGGGACGCAGCCAGGGCACGAGGGTGGGGCAGAGGCTCCTGGGGCCTTTGGTTCAGGCTTGGTTTCGGTTCCCCACTAGGGACTCCTGTTTTACTTCCTAAGAGGTCCCCTGAGGCTCCAGAAGATAAGGCGGCAACCATACAGAAACTGGAGGTGAGGAAGACCCTGCGTGAGGACCGTTCCCTCCCCTCTGACCCATGAGCGTGTCAGTCGTTCCCTCTGGGAGTGACCCCGGGTGTCTGTCCCTGCTTCTCTCCACATAAGACCCTGGAGAAAAAGGAGGAGGAAGTGACTTCAGAGGAAGATGAGGAGAAAGAAGAAGAAGAGGAGAAGGAAGAGGAGGAAGAAGAGGAATATGACGAGGAGGAACACGAGGAGGTGAAGGACACTTCTTCCAGCCTGGACTCCCCTCCCTTCCCCTAAACTCAGGAGTTCAACAGCCTTTCCATCAGGGATTATTTTCCTTACAGGGTTGGAGGGCCAAAGAAAATGGTGCTCCCCCACCCCCACCCCCACACCCCCATACACCCTGCCCCACTTCATTTCCCCCAGGTTATTGCCACCTGAAACTCAGGTATGCTGAAGCAGTGGCCTTGGTGGTATAGTGGTTACTCACTGGACTGTGCTCCACACGGTCAGCAGTTCAAAAGCACCAGGTGCTCCGCAGGGGAAGCGGGCTTTCTGCTGCTGTGTTACAATCTTGGAAATTCTTAGGGTCAGTTCTACCCTGCAAAACAGGGTTGCTATGAGTTGGCGCTGACTTGATAGCAGTGGGTGTGTTTGGTTTTTACACTGAAGTAGTGCTGCTAAGTGACCCACTCCAAGTCCGAGGAAGGCAGAGAAGTGTTTATGTAGAAGGTCCACCGGCGAGGAGACCACAGCAGTGCCAGACAGACTCTGTGGTGTCCTGTCGGAAGTCGGACTGCTTAGAGAAGGTGCTCCATTAGCTTTGGGACGCGTACTTTGGAGAGTCGTGTATGGATGTTTGACCTCACGTTTCAGGGTAGCCAGGGACACAACTGTTGACCCTGAGCAAGCCGACCGAACCGTAAAGTCTGTGACGTCTTAGGCCAGTCTCAGGAAGCCTTTGTTGGCTAACTAGCTAGCAGGGCCTAGCTTTTCATCGTTCACAGGTTAGTAAAAGAAGACAACATTCTTTGGCCCCTTTAGGTGGCCATCCCATCCAACCTGTGCTTCTGAGCGACGGGGCACGTTGTAAAACCTGTCAGAGAGACTGCGTTCAGTACATCAGCTTAGGTTAACTGCATTTTGTAAGGGAGATTTTTCTCACTACGCTAAGTAACATAACTTGGGTTACATTTCTCTCAACACTGAGCTTCGACAGAAAAGAGCAGCTCACGCCTGGAGGTGTTATACCAAGGAAGGGCCTGGGCCCTGGGAAGGATGACCGTCATGCCTGTCATGCCTGACTTTCACCTCTTGGTGCCCTTGTAGGAAACAGACTACATCATGTCGTATTTTGACAACGGAGAAGACTTTGGGGGTGACAGTGATGACAACATGGATGAGGCTATATACTGAAGACGGACGCAACCACTCCAGAGCTTACTCTCTGGATCAGAGGTGCAGAGAATGACCCTGGCCAGCGGGTTTGTGGATAAGCAAGGCCACGTCCTCTGGCTCTTCTCGAGAGTCCAGATAACCAGCTTGGCCCTGGTTAGGCAGGAGGGGAGGTGACAGCTAGCTCTCTTCTCCCTCCCCCCCTCCACCTGTGTACCACCTCTCTGCCTTGTGCAAAAGGCAAAGGACCAAAACCCTCATTGTCCCTAACAAAGGCAGGACGGACACTCAGAAGAAAGCCCTGGGGTGGTTCCCTGTCTGGACATGTCTTCCCATTTGTAGAGCTAATTGGGGTGGGAGTAGGGCAGTTGTATATATTTGAATAAAATGTTTGTATCTGTCTTCCTGCCCCTGAGGAGAGAAGGCTGGAGGAGCAGAGGGGCTTCGGCTTGCTGAGACATTAACTCTTCCCTTACCTGACAGAATCCAGTGAGACTCACTGGAGGCCGCAGCCTTTCCCCCACCCCACAGGGAGACCGACACCCCAATCTAGCCCTGCTGGGACAGGGGCAGGAACTCGTCCACAGAGCCGCACGGAGGGAGGCGGGACACGGAGAACAGCCCCAGCCCCGCGGGAAGGCAGCAGGCCGGCTGGTCTGAGCCCTCGCTCCTCAGGCGGCTGTCTCTGTTCACACATGTGGACGGGCCACAGGCACTCTCTTTCCCACACTTGACCTTGTCCTTGTTTACAAGGAATCATGACAGCTATTTTTGTGGTGCGAGTCAAGAAAGCCAGGTGCAGGGAGAGAGAGAGAAGGGAGGAAGTGCTGACTCTTCAGCACACTCACCCCCATCCAGCCCACACCCCAGTTGTAAAGATTTATTGGTACCGAGGAACCCTGCACGTCCCATTGCCACCTGCCTCCGAAGAGGTATGTGACTGCGTTGCACTTTCTCTTTTGCTTTTTCCCTTGGTGGAATCCAGTTTGCTTTTCATTCCCTTCTCGGCCTTCTCTGGTGGGGGTGGGGGTGGCAGTGTTGTCTGACAGGAAGTAAAGTGGGTGGGGAGGAGGGGTGTGACTTGGGGACACTCACAAGCTCGCAGAGATGCTTTCTCACCCACACAGCTCTCCCTTGGGTGAGGTCACTTCCCTAGGCTCTGATTGGCTTCTGAGGAAGCCCCAGAGGAGCTGATTGGCTCCAGCCCCTTGACATGCAGCAGTCACGGGCAATCCTCGTGTCCAGAACCAGGAAGCGGGCTCACGTTATGGGGGTGCTAACATAGGGACTCCAGCCCTGTTGGAGTGGAGTGGTAAGTGGTTAAGATAGAAGCCCCCTAGAGAACAGAGAAAGGAATTGGACTAGAGAGAGAACATTCCAGAGAGATTGAGCAATCCGTGAGGATGGCTAGGTTTCCTTTTCTAGCTCTTGGTCGTGTTTATGTGAATGCAGGCGGGGGAGGGGCCAGGGGACATGTCATTGGGGGATTACCATGGTCTTGCTTCAGGCCCCGCTGGCAGCCAGGGAGAAATCGCCAAGAAACAACAGTAAAAGACATTGAAAAGTCTCCCTTTGCCCTTCTCTCCTCCGCTTGCCGACATGCTCATAGACTTGTGCGTGCTAATCCAAACCCTGTCCACCAAACCCTGTCTGTGCCTGTGTTGGGGCTACCCTCTAAATCCCACCTAGAGCAGGCCTAGAACATACAAAAAAACACCACCCATTACCATTGAGTCCATGCAGACGCACAGTGGCCCTATAGAGGGTTTTCAAGTCTGTAAATAAGCCTCATTTTTCTCCTGAGAAGCAGCTGATGGATTTAAACCACCACTTTGATGTATCAGTCTAACATTTAGCTAACAGTGACACTAGGGCTCCTTAGAATCTTAGAAGACTGGAAAAAATAAACCCCCCCTAAACAAGAGACAGTAGAGGGTGCTTGAACCACATCCCTGTCCCCTACCTACACACACACACACCTCCTTTGCCCACGAAACTGCAGAAAGGGGGACAAAGGTTGGAATGACCACTTGGGATCAGTTGTCCTGCCTCAAAGACAAAGTGTCAGAGAGATCAGACTATTGGAGGACTGTGCCTTGCCTGGCTTCCTGCCGCTCCTGGCAGGTGATCTTGCTAAACAAAGCCAGAGAGGCGGGACCCAGCTGCTTCCCCAAATGCCAGAGCAGTTCCAGGCATGTGCTAGACAGTTTCCACTGACCTCTCCCCTACTTTCCATAGGCACCCTTAGGCAGGCTGAGTCTTAGCAGCCCCAGGAAACAGGCTCCTATTCCCTCTGGAAGACCACCTGGGGGGAAATTGAGGACGTAGGCTCTGCTTGCAAACATTTACAGGAGGCGCACATGGTCCTTGCTCAGTTCTGTGCTTCACACCTGCTGGAACTTGCTTCCCTGGACCAGATTGCTCCCTCAGCCTGAGCTGAGCTGGACAAAAACCCTGACCGTCCCTACTCTACATTTCATCTCCGGCTTACTGATCCCCTCCCACCTTGGGTAGGAAGCTTGGGAACAGTGTGGTCTGAACTTCGACGTAGGGATTGAGTGATTGAAGGAAGACAGAATGGAAGCTTGGGGGCAGCATGCAGTGTAAAAGATTAGGAGAAGGGAGCGAAGAAAATTGGAGGCTCAGCGGGCAAGAGGATACAGCAATAGGCCATCCCTGGTTTGATGAGAAAAAGACAGTCCTCATATATACCTGAGTTCATTTTTATTGCCATTTGAGATTTGAAAGGAAGCACAGGTGTGATGTTGGTGTTGGTGAAGAACCAAGCCTAAGGGGAGCACTCCAACCTCCACTGGAGTGGCCAGGGCTGAGGGCAAGGCCGTCCTCATGGTCCAGGTTTCACCACGCCAGCATTGTGCCCTGTGGAAGGCGTGCCACGCCTCCGAGCCTCAATTCCCCCTGCGTGAAGCAAAGTGGAATTCAGTGTCAATTAGGAGACCTTCCAGCTCTCAGACAATGGGGCTGATGTGGATCCACAGTCCACATCGTTCTGAGAACAAAGGTCAGAGCATGTCCGGTTTTTGCTGAAGTGATTTCACCCGCTGGATTTTCCCACCTTATTTTCAGCCTGGGCCGCCTAAGGATAACCGCAGGCGTCTAGCCAGTCGTTTCCAAGAACCCACTCAGACCTAAGTGGCAATTGGATCAGTAAGTTCATCCGCAAGCAAGTACCCCTGCAACAGAGCTCAAAGTCAGACTCCACCAACCAAATTTGTAATCAAGCAGGCCTCCAGGAAGTTTCTGAGGAAAGGGCAGGTGGGGCAGTTCCACTCCACCTTTGCTCCCTCATCATGCCTGGCCCTGACAAGAGAACAAAACAGGAATAGCGTGCAGGCAGGAATAGCCAGTGAGCTAATCAGGCCAGCCGAGTGGTGAATCCTTCGCCACTGCCCTGTTCCCTACTGAGGCCGACCTTTGCCCCCAGGTCATTCTGGCACCAGAAAGGCAGAAACAAGGAGTCCTGCTTCCGTGTGTCATCCTGAAAGGCTTCTGCCTTGTTCCTAACCAGGCTTCATTTGTCTGTTCGAATCCTCAAGGGCAGGGAGGTTGCCCCACCCCAGCCCCATGGAAATC